CCTTATCAGAATGTCCATAACATTCATGAATTCACTTATCTTGTTGTGATACTAATAAAAGTAAAAGGCCATTATGGAGACAATTTACAGAGTGACTAAGACTATGAACTGATTATATAGGATATTTAACGTTAAGGAAGGATAGGAAAAATAGAAAAGGATATGAGGTAGTGATAATACTGAGGAATGGGAGATAGCAGGAACTGCAGATGCTGGAGAATCCAAGACAACAAGGTGCAGAGATGGATGAACACAGCAGGCCAAGCAGCATCATAGGAGCAGAAAGGCTGATGTTTCGGGCATAGACCCTTCATCAGAAATGGGGGAGGGGAAGGGGGTTCTGAAATAAATAGGGAGAGAGGGGGAGGCCTTGTTGTTTCGGATTCTCCAGCATCTGCAGTTCCTGCTATCTCTGATTCAATTTTAACCTCACTGCGAAGCCTCTTCTAAGGATGCCTAGCCTGAAGAAGTTACCCTCCTCCCTCCGGACAAACCTCAGGGGATCTCTCTCCCACTGCAACTCTCTCGTAACCTGTCTGTTTCCTCTCCACCTATCTTCTCCTCTATCCATCTTCTATCCGCCTCCCCCTCTCTCCCTATTTATTTCAGAACCCCCTTCCCCTCCCCCATTTCTGATGAAGGGTCTAGGCCCGAAACGTCAGCCTTTCTGCTCCTGTGATACTGAGGAATGGGATTGGTGTGTTCATGAGAAAGGATCTTCAATTGAAAGTCCAGGACGGAAAATCTGTCTGGGTGGAACTGAGAAACAGCAGGGGGCAGCAAACATTAATAAAAACAATAATAGGACACCAAACATTGCAGGTCACTGTATATACATCAGTAGTCCAGGGGTAAATGTAACAAGGGGAATGCAGTAACCATCGGTGACTACATATAGACTGAATAAATCTCATACTTACCTAAGCTAAGGAGGAAGTATTCCTGGACTGTGTTTGAGAAAAGGTGCCATTAAATCTGAAATCATGGCCTTTAATCTAATCAAAAGCAATTGTGAAGGCATGAGGAGGAAGTTGCCTGGGGAAAGATTTAACTAGAGCTAGGCAATAGCTAGTATTTAAAGAATTGATGCTTGGTTCCAAAAATGATACATTTCTACAAGACAAAAATACTAAAACTGAGAGAGCCACTACTATTGAGAAAATTTAAATATAGTGTTAAATGAAAGGAGGCGGCTTAGAAAGTTGCCAGAAAGTTGTAAGCCTGATGTTTGGGACACTTTTTTAGTATAAAGTAACAAAGATCAAAATATGAAAATAAAATTGCAAGAAATATACAAATGATTGTAATAATTTCATGAATGCAAAAAGGGAAATATTAGCAAAGACAAATGTGGATTCATTGCAGCCAGATACAGGAGAGTTTATCTTCAAAGAAAGACGCAAAAAGTGTTCCTGAACCAATTAAGTCAAGTGGGAGTATAAAAGTGAAAAACATTCTTAAAAGTTAAAGTACTACTGTAGAAATTAATGGGACTGAAAGTGGACTGGTCCACAGGCTCCGATGGTCTACACCAAACAGTGTTGAAAGAAATGGCTACGGTGACAATGGATGCATTGGTGATCATCTTTCAAAATTTTATTACTACTTCAATGGTGCCTTCCGATTGTAAGATTGCAAATGTAATTCCACTGTTTAAAGAAGGAATAAGAGCGGAAATGAGGAACTTACAGACCTGTCAATCTGACATTAGTAGTTGAGCAAATGCTGGAATCTACCACAAAGGATGTGATTACTGAATTTTTTTAAGGAAATAATTGTCTGATTGAGCCATCAACATTGATTAGTGCAGGGGAAATCCTGTTTGTCAAAAGTAGCAATTTTTTGAGGATGTTACCAGCAGAGTCAATTTTGATTTTCAGAAGGCTTGGGATAAAGTTGTACAAAAGGGGTTAGTAAACAGAATCAAAGCATATGGAATTGTGTGTAATTTTCTTTGCATGGATTAAGGATTGGTTATAACCATAAGAAATAGGAACAGAAGTAGGCCATTTGACTCCTGGAGCCTGCTTCGCCATTCAGTAGGATCATGGTGAATTCGGCATTCCTCAGTCTACTTTCCTACGTTTTCTCTGTATCCCTTGATTTCCCCACTGATTAAGATGATGACCCCTAGCTCTGAATTTTCCTCCTTAAACCTGTCCAGCCCTCTATTTCTTTCCGTCTTTAATCCATTCCTTAAAACTTATGTTCTTGACTGTGCTGTTCATCATTTTCTCTAATATGAACAATGTGGCTTGGTGTCGAAGTTTGTTTGATAACATTGCTGTGAAGTGCCTTGGAACATTTTAGTACATTAAAGATGCTGCATAGTGTAAGTTGTTCTATTACTCAGTATCTTTAGTGGGTAAAAAGCCAGGTTGAACAATCTGAGGTAAAGAATGGTAAGAGAAGATTAATAAAAGTTACAGAAATGTGAAGAGAAAGAAGCTGGAGATGAGCTGGTAGATGGAGATAAATGAGAGTTACTGCTGGGTTTCTTAATAAGGAACTGTAAGTATGGAAAGGAAATACTTGTTGATTTAATACAGAATGGAGTCTTAACTGACCACCAAAATATTGATGTTATACTGGGAGCATGAACGGTGATGTCATGTTTGGTGGTCACAATATAATCTGTACTTTGTTTGCACGCTGTAACCAATTTTATACCTCTTTTAAGCCTTCCAAAACAATAACCATTTGTTTGCATTTTATTTCATAGGACACAGCAGAATGTTTAGACAAAGCAGCCCATCAAACAGAATCACAAGAATCTAGAGGCTGCAATACTGAATCAAAGAGGAGGCGGCGGCGCAAAAAGAATTTGAATCACTCACAGACAGCCCATACACAAGAAATGGCCCCATCTATGATTGCAGTGGACCCTGTCACATCAAGATCTATAATATGTCAAGCCATGCCAATGCCTTTAACGGTCCAAGGTATTTCCTCACCTGTAGCACAGCTAGCACTCTCTACTTCAGTAGTAAAGCCAGCCATACCCACATCTCCTGTGAAACAGTGTTTATTTGTTCCTCCTATGGAGAAAACCCAGGCAACACTTGCAGTGGAGACACCCCAGTCCGTGCCCGCAGTGGAGACACCCCAGTC